TCATAAATTAACTCTTGATGAATCACACTTTTCTGAGAATAGAATAATGAAGTGGAGATCGCTAAACTGCAAGCTAAAATCGGTGTTTTTGCGTACACAGGGTTGCCAGGTTGACAAAGATAAGTAACACATTTAGCAGATATTTCCGTATCGCGCAAGTGGGAAGCTCTCTTTCTGGGATTCCGTCTCTTTATATCAGGCAACCCAGTTGTGTTCCTCTGCGGCCAGATTACACCTTGCTGTAGCCTATATATGCTCTACTCATTCTTTTTTAGAAACCACGCACTTTTCTACTCAATTTTAAACGTTGTTCTTGTATTCAAATTAAGCGCGGTCCACTGCTGCACACGTGCCACAATATCGATACAGGGCCAGCTGTATCGATACTCGTCGTATCGATGTATCTATCGAAAGGCGGGGCATAGAGGAGAAACAATAATGTACAGTATGTGGACAATAATGTGTTTTTAACCTTAAACCGCATAAACAGATTTCATTACACCAAATACACAAAATAATGTTCTTTTAGCATCTCTTTATCATATGACCCCTTTAAGTGCGTCTTCTTTACTAAATAGCATTGCAATCTATAAGGCATCAGAAACACCTTCAATGGTATCAAAATACAATATAAATACTGTTGCAAATCCATGGAATTCACAGTTTTGTACTAAGATAGATCCTAAGAGGAAAAGAAAAAAAAAGGCAACTGTGTTACCAGGGGGCACCCGGATTTGAACCGGGGACCTCTTGATCTGCAGTCAAATGCTCTACCACTGAGCTATACCCCCTTGCGGTATAACACATGATTTCTATACATTATATTGGCATTGATGTATGCAAACTATAAATATGATTGTAAATCTTAATTTAGGCAAGTACAAAATATTACTGATATTTCCCCTTTCCCAGTGCACAAAATATCACACCAACGTAATATGTGAGCTCTTGATTCGTTGCCCGGTATATTTCCACATCGACCACCGCTGAGCGCCGCCAGAGTGAGAGACATGGCCGCTCAAGCTCGAGCTCTCGTAGCGGCGCGATGGCTCGCGGACGCTGTCAAAAGCAACCGAGTGGGACCAAATCTGCGGATATTAGATGCATCTTGGTATCTACCTAAATTGAAACGCAATCCCAGGGCCGAGTTTGAAAAAACTCACATTCCCGGAGCCTCGTTTTTCGACATCGACGAGTGTTGTGACAAAAGCTCCAAGTTTGATCACATGCTGCCTACCAAGGGCGAGTTCGCAGACTATGTGGGTGATCTGGGAATAGGGAACAACACTCATGTCGTCGTTTACGATGCCAGCGACTTCGGCTCGTTCGCTGCTCCTCGGGTGTGGTGGATGTTTAGGGTGTTCGGGCACAACTCGGTGTCGGTTCTGGACGGTGGATTTAAGAACTGGTTAAAGGAGGGTCACGCAGTTACCGAGCAATATAGTAAACCAGAGCGTGCCGAGCTCAAGGTGTCCCTTGACAAGTCCTGGGTCAAAACTTACGAAGACGTTTTGAACAATATTAAAACCAATGCATTTCAAGTAGTCGACGCCAGAGCCAATGGAAGATTTCGTGGGGTTGAACCAGAGCCGAGGGAAAGTGAGTATGAATTGTTAGTTATAAAACAGTGTAATATTGATTACTAGTTATGATTGCTAAAGCAGATTAGGTCTGGGAACGTATCCATGCATGTGTTACCCCATTTACTTGCACTTTGTGCAAACGGTAATTTTTAACTACTGATAGCCTTTTAATTCTCTGCAGTAATACAGTATGGGCCTACAGTCATACAGTGCCAGTGCCACTTCATCCAAAACACTTTTGTATACTCTCTGACTTTTGTATAATTATTATAAATGCACTTTTGTGACCATATGGAATATATATATTAAAAAAAGGTAACCAATAACAGCAGATTTCATGTACCACAAATGTATTATGTTGGCTTATTTCTTTTTGTTACACAATATCTCTGTGGAATGCCGTAATATTGATTTAGCAGTGTTATTTTTGTATAATTAATATACTGTTGTGTTATGTTCCCGATTTTAAATTGAGATTTTTTTTATGTTTCACTTTATATTTAGCTTAACTGTTATTGTTTGTGTTGTGTTTGTCATTTATACACATTTTTTATGCCTACAAAGTTTTTGTTCATCTTTTTTTAAGTGTATTTGTTAGTTTCAGTTATTTTAGTACTTCAAGTTAAACTAAATGGAAATGAGAAATGTTGCTTTAAATGTTAACAAAATATATATTTTTAAATTTCATTTCAATTATTGTTTATTTTATTTTAAGTAATGAAAATATTTTTATGGTTTTAATTTTAGTTAACTATAATAACCTTGCTACTTAGTTAAGAAAAGTTAAGGTAAACATCTTAGGTCTGTGAGTGCATGCATGTTACCACTTTTACGCTTTGCGAGGACTTGTGCATACAGTCATTTTCAACTACTGATAGCCTTTTAATTCTCTGCAGTAATACAATAGATGGTTGTTAACATAAGCCCTGACAGCAGTGTCACACAGTGCCATTTCATACATACTTTTTATAATTAGTATACATGCATTTTGTGACCACATTGAAATAGATTTCTAAGTTATTAGTGAAGCACTCTTATAGAATATAACACACTGAAGATTTTATGTACCACACTGTAAGACATAAAAAATGTTATCAAAACTGCAAAAGCGCCATTAGCTTTTTTTCTCTATCTTTCTCTTTATCTTAGACATCGAGCCTGGTCATATTCCTGGCTCGATCAACATGCCTTTTCCCAGCTTCCTGGACTCGACATCAGGTCTAGAACGTCCTGTGGAGGAACTCAAGAAGCTCTTCCAGCAGGCTGGAGTCGACATGCAGAAGCCCTTCTGGGTCACCTGTGGCTCAGGTGTGACAGCCTGTCACATCGCCCTGGCTGCTCACCTGTGTGGCCACCCGGGGGTCTGTCTGTACGACGGGGCGTGGGCCGAGTGGTTCATTAAAGCTGCACCTGAACATGTGATCTCTGAGGGGAAAGGAAAACAGCCATGATGAATGGTTTCTTAGACCCTTACTACACCATTTCATTGGAATAAAGAACTGCTGACTAATACAATCACAAGAGTTTTCATTGTATCAGAAATTATTGCATAAAATGGCTATTAAGTACTGCACTATTCTACTACTATTGCATATGCATTAAAGCCCCTTTTCTGGTTTAAATAACAGTTATATATATCTAGGAAGAGAGCTACAAGAAGTTTATTATGAGATTATTATGCTTTACCAATTCATAAATCAGATGTAAAGAATACAGAAGAAAACAATACTTCAGAATAAGTCTCTAGAATGTAATGCTAAAATGGTATCTTTATATTAATATAATTGAATTATTTTGCATTTAAATGTAATTGCAGACCACCGCCTTCATGAGGGAAAAATTAATCATCAGTAATGCCACTTATCATTTTTAGGCGATAGAAATTCGATCTTTACTATTTTAAGTTTAAAAATAAGCAAAATATAATTAGTGACTGAACTCTTGTTCCTGTTCTCTTTATATGTCAGAGTTGAACTAATAAATACAAAATACTGTAAATACAAACGGCTCATGTCTTGTGTGCTAGTGTTTAAAACAAGAACAATAGGCCCTACACCCATGAGGGGCATTTTCATATTTCCCTCGCTGTTAAATGATCTCAACTTACACATAAATATATATAGAGCTCCTGCATGGATTGTCAAGTTTCTGTTTGTCTATCACACGTGCCACATTTAAAATGGACGCTTTTGATGGACGCCTATAGTCCTCCGTGGTTATTTCCAATACCTATAGTAGACCTTCAGATTTTGGAAGAAATTAATAATAAAAAGGGTTATGTTTCCAAGAATGAGATTGCACAAATATACATGGATCAAAATTATAGTCAGGAAATTAAAATATTTACAGATGGATCCAAAGATCCTGTTTCAGGAAATACAGCAGTTTCTATATGCATTCCTCATTTTAAGATTAAAATTGCAAAAAGGACAAGTAATCATTTATCAGTTTATTCAGCAGAAATGATTGCCATTCTGATAGCTCTTAATTGGGTCGAGGAAATACAGCCATTAAGAACAGTTATTTGCTCAGACTCTTATTCTGTCTTAATAAGTTTATTAAGTGGCAAGTCTACATCTAGACAAGACATATTATATGATATCCTACAAAGCATGTTCAAAATTCACCAATATAGATTAAGTATTTCATTTGTATGGGTACCGGCACATGTTGGGATAGAGGGAAATGAGGAAGCTGATCAAATGGCCAAGAAGGCATTAAAACAAACCGATATAGATATAAACATATCACTTAGTAAAGCAGAAATGAAAGGAATAATCAGAGGGGCTATGATTAGGAAATGGCCAAAGATGTGGGATAAGGAGGTGAAGGGTCGGCATCTATACAACATTCAAAAACAAGTTGGAAATGGAAAGAAAAACTTTGGAAGGAGGACACAATAATATCTAGACTCCGTATTGGTCACACAGCTCTTAATCAATCATTATTTATTATTGGTAAACATGAATCAGGTAATTGCAATAATTGTGGTATACCAGAGACTGTGGAACATATCCTATTACATTGTGAAGCATATGCAAGAGAAAGAATGCGATTAATAGAAGAATTAAGTTTGTTGAATATTGAAAGAATAACAATCAAGACAATACCAGAGTATGCTCCAGCACGGTATAAAGTCTATAATGCAATTATTAATTATTTGAAAGCAATAGGTTTAATAAATATAATTTGAAGATCACATAATGAAGTATATAAAATAATTGTATCCTTGTGTAATACTCCTTTGGTCAAACTAAAGGTTATTTGATTTATGTATTTTTTTATTTTTTCTCTATACTGTCACCAATATACGGCATGCTCCACACTCCAGTCCAGTAGGTGGCGGAAATGCACCTTTTAAGTGGGTTTGCCAACCGCCATTAAAAAGAAAAGAAGAGAAGAAGAAGAACACGCCTATAGTCGACTCTGATATTGCCTGATGGTCCTGAGAATAATAACAAACCAACGCTACTCTCCATTCCACCGCCTTCATGGATAAACGTTGTTTGTCTACTTCCCCGACGGTTTAGACCAAATCTGGATGTAATTTTAAACCTATTATACGACCAGCCGGGCAAATTCACCTGGATTCCTAATAACGACAAGCTTTCATAATCAAACCGTTGAAATTCAAACGCTAGGTTGAGTCGTCAGGTATTTTCCTCTCACGTTTGTCGTTTTTTAACGTTTCCAGTTTTTATTCTAGAGGTCGTTTTTTTCTCTCTCACTGAAACAGTTTTGGATTCGCTGGAAAGGCATTTTAAACATTCATTTTAAGGTAAGACAGCGAATGCAATTGACAGCGAGTGACCTATAATGACATGATGTACGTTAGCGCTGAAAACACTAAAAGTCGTTCACCTAAATCTTTGTGTTCTGTCTAATAACGTTATATTCATATAAGCCCTGCTATAATGCTTATTTATGTCTTTACGGATGCACCAGCGACACGGTTAATGGTGTATATGTGTGTTTCGTCTGTCCGCAGGGTGGCGCTGTTGAGTCATGTCTGGAATCGCTTTGAGTAGACTGTCACAGGAGCGCAAAGCCTGGAGGAAAGATCATCCTTTTGTAAGGGACACTCAAATACACATCAGTCAAATGTTTGAGCGGAGACTTTCAAACTGTTCAATCAGTCTGGAATTCCGAATAAAAATGACTATTTTGAGCTATGGTATTTTGGTTGTTTCTCTGTAGGGTTTTGTGGCAGTACCAACCAAAAACCCAGATGGCACCATGAATCTCATGAATTGGGAATGTGCAATACCAGGAAAAAAGGGGGTTAGTGTCCTTGTGAGCAAATGTTACACCTCTCTTTAAATGATGTTTTAGATCAAGTTACACAGAGCTCTAAACAATGTCTCAATCTGTATATTTGTTTAGGGTATTTTTTTATGCGTATATGTATTTAACATTTATACTTGCATACTCTCATACTTTTATCATGCTTGTAATTATTTTATTTGTATTATCTGTCTATTTTTCTGTGTAAGCATACAGAACAGCTTTGTTTTTGCATAAATTATGCATTTTATTGTTTTGATATAACATCTCCATCTAACATGCCAGTGGACAAATGGAAATCCATGGTCTCTTAGATTAGTTCATAGACGCATATCATATTTGAACTGTGAACCGAATAATGTTAAATGACAGGTTTTAACATCTGTATCTGTGTTTTCTGTATCCTGTAGACTCTTTGGGAGGGAGGACTGTACAAACTGAGAATGCTCTTTAAGGATGATTACCCATCTTCACCACCCAAGTGTGAGTTTTCTCTTCTACGAAAAATGTAGTGCTTATCATTGTCTTTGCCTCTACACTTCCACATATATTTCCTGTCACTGGTGCTCATAGACACTGAAAAGCGGAGAAATAACTGTTGTAAAGCTGAACAGTATGTTTGACTTGTTCATTTTCTTCTCAGGCAAGTTTGAGCCGCCAATCTTCCATCCAAACGTCTATCCTTCAGGCACAGTGTGTCTGTCCATACTGGAGGAAGAGAAGGATTGGAGACCAGCCATCACCATCAAACAAGTATGCAAAAACACAAATGTGTGTGCTTGTACACTACTGTTCAAAAGTTTGCAGTCGGAAAGATTTTTGAAAATGCTTTTGATGTTCACCAAGGCTGCATTTATTTGATCAAAAATATGTAATATTTGAAATATTATAACTGTTTGCTATTTGATAGGGCTGGTCCAAATACCATTTTTTGAGCTTCAAAGCTTCGGTAGTCAACACCGAATATTCGAAGCTTCGGAGGGAGGGGGCTGAACATAGTCTTCTCTCTAACACTGTGTCTACACTGGATGCGAGCGGCGTAACAAAATACAGTAGAACCTATGTTGTCTACACTGGATGCGGCGTGGCGCGGCTGACAAAAATCCCCGACAGTAAAACAGTAGAAACTGCAGCTGCGTTCTATTTATGACGTGCTGCTGACACAAATTTCAAATGATTTTCAACAGTCGCTTGTCCAGTGTAGACAGACTTTAGCTGTTGCGGCGCGACACGACAACTGTCGCGTCCGGTGTAATAAATAAAGGCAGGAATCTCTGTGCGTCTGTCTGTCTGTTTGCATTTTTATTATGTCGAGAACCTTCAGGCAGGTGTGTTGCTGCGGACCCAAGGGAGTGCAATGTTGCATTTTGGTGCAATATGGACGCGCGACACGTTCAGAATGAATAAACTTTTAATAAACTACAGAACAGCGCAAGCCAGAAGCGGTGCGCCTCACGCGGGCAGGGCTTATATGCTTTGAGAACAGACACTGCACTAGTGATACAAAACACACAGGTCTGTTAAGAGCAATACTTTAAATATAGACAAATTATTATTAGGCTGGGCTACTGTACGTTTTTTTATGACTGCCATATTCGCAAATGAAGTGTTTTTTATCATGTGTGAAATTACTGATTAACATGGCGGATAAAAGCAGCTTGTTCTTTTTTACACCAACAATATACTGTAGGCGTACTACTTACAGAACTTCTGTGATTTTTTCAAACTTGATGTGCTGTTGTGGTAGGCCAGTTTCAAATCGCATATTTGGCACACTGCCTTTGTTTTGTCCTCACTCAATTTAAATTGCTCCCACACAGCTGAGGGCATTTTTGTCTTCTCTTCCAGATGAACTGAGTCATGACGTTCACTCATGGGCGATTCATATTCAAGGGCCAATGAGAACCGTTTGGCGGGGGATGACAGGTGTTAGGGGAGAAAAAAAAGAATATTCGAATCTCAAAATTGAAAATCGAATGCCAACCCACCGAACGGATATTTGAATATTCTGGTCCAGCCCTACTATTTGAATATATTTTAAAATGTTATTTATTCATGTGATGCACAGCTGAATTTTCAGCATTATTACTCCATGATCGGTCAGAAATTATTCTTATATGCTGTTTTGCTGCTTCAGAAACATTTCTTATTATTATCAATGTTGAAAACCGTTGTGCTGCCCAATATTTTTCCGTAAATCATGATTTATATTTTCCAGGATTCTTTGATGGTTGAAGTTCAAAAGATCAGCTGATTTTTTTTGTTACATTTATAAATGTTTTTACTAGTGCTGTCAAACGATTAATCACGATTAATTGCATTCAAAATAAACGTTTTTGTTTACATAATATATGTGTCTACTGTGTATATTTATTACGTATATATAAATACACATGCATGTGTATATATGTCAGAAAAATGTTCATGTATTAAATATATTTATATATAATATAAATTATATGAAAATAAATATATACATGTAAATACAAAATATATGCTGTATGTGTATTTATATATACATGATAAATGTACACATATATATTATGTAAACAAACTTTTATTTTGGATGCGATTAATCACTTGACAGCACTAGTCTTAACTTTCACTTTTGACCATTTCAATGCATTCTTGCTGAATAAAAGCACTAATTTGCTAAAAACAACTTACTGACCACAAACCTTTGAATGTGTACAATTTATCCATTATGATATTAACATTAAAGATCACAGTTGCTCATAAGGTTAGACATTTGAACAAACCTTTTAAGCAGTAAGCTTTTGTATCTCAATATGTTGTTGTGGCTGTAGATATTGTTGGGCATCCAGGAGCTCCTGAATGAGCCCAACATTCAGGACCCAGCGCAGGCAGAGGCCTATACGATATATTGGTAAGTGCAGCCAAATATATCACCTGCATGCTTTTATATATGATTTTACAATTTCATCTGATACCATGCCTACAAAATTGATCTTATTTCTCTCTCGCAGTCAAAACAGGATGGACTACGAAAAACGTGTGAGGGCACAAGCTAAGAGATTTGCTCCTGCATAGAGCGGCACGTGCATCTTATAAAGATATTCTGCACAGATGCCAATCTGATGCTCCAGAATCCTTCACCACTCAATGAAAACCCCAAAACTGCAGTTGAGAGTTGAAATAAAGATTTGTTCAAGCTGGCTTCAGCACAGAACTGAATGAGAATGTGTGCAAAACAATTCTAAGATGGAAACAACCGAGACAAGTTAATGTTGGCTGCTGATCACTGACCAGTGTTTTATATAGTGATGGTGAAATCTTGTTTTGTTTAGGTTTTTTTTTTTTTTTTCTGATGAGGAAAATTGTTGGTGATCAGTCGCTAAGAAGCAACTTTCACACAGAGCAGAGTTGGTAAAGTTTTCTGTGTATATATAAATAGTATAAATATATACAATTATTTACTTTTATTTACTTTTTTACTGTTTCATTATAGTAATTAAAATAAGTGTGGCCATAATATATGTAATGAGTGTAAGTATACTTTGAAATAAAAAGATAAAGTGGTTGCTAAAAGTGTTGTTGTTAACAGTTTCCTTTTTTCACCTGTATCATCTTGTGGTTTTTTTATTTTTGGCTAAACTTGTTATGATGCTTTGCCATGTTTGTGTGATGTTCATCATGCGGTCACGATTTGTAACCACTGATACTCTGTAGAAATCAATTATTTATTAATAGAGACGCAGGTAGAGTTTCGCCCACGCCAAACAAAACATACCCAACTGCTGGTCTGTAGGTACAAACTTCCTCTTACTTTAACTATCCAAAGTCTTAATTCGGCTTGATTCACTTTGGTTTCAGGAAATGTGTCCAGTCACTATTTGATATTATGAACATATCATTGGCTGAAGTTTTTAAGGACTCATAACAGCAGGCAAACCAAACCTGGCATATTTTCATGTAGCATCAGCAGTTTTATCAAATTACTAAAGTGCTATGTATGTATTCAAACTGTGTTATTCCAAACTACTTGGAAATTTGAATCTGCATCATTTGTCTCTATCATTTGCATTAACTTTGGTTACCATGCTGATAAATTGTACTTACTGATAGGAAAAAGTAGAGGATGAACACCATCAGCAAATCAGAGAAGAGGAAGGAGAGCGGCAGTCAGGTCAGTTCTGAACAGAGTAACTTGTGTGTAATCCAATGTTCAAAATTAATCACTAAGTTGATTATTTCAGAACACTGAAATGCTGTTGCATGAGGATTCCTATGCGACTCGTATCATCACACAAATGTGTATTTATGGGCATGTCAGGTGGGCAGAGTGCACTACCTGCAGGTTCCTCCGCTTTGTGCTCCTCACTACTCCGATACAGGCTCAGGCTGCACAGATGAGCACAGATCTTATAATATGATGGGCCACTATCTGCGTGCAAACATCTTTCCAGGTGTGTCTTGAACGCATAGAAAAACTGCATCTTTTTAGTATATTACATAACTGTCTGTTACAAATCTTGTACTGTATGTGTCCACTTTTAAAGGGCCCCCAGTTGTGTGGTCATCGCTGGTTAAGGACTCATATGCTCATCATTCTCTACCAGCATTTATCCATGATCCAGAGCACTGGCACGGCCACAAAACAGATCACTTAGGTAGGCTTGAAGATTACAATCCTATTCTCTCATTTCTCATGCCTCTCTATAAATCAGTGGGGCCACAAGATATAAAAAAATAAATGGTATTTATTATTATTGTTATTTAATTTTCTGGATTGTGGGCTATCTCAAAAAGGTTGAAAACCACTGCTATAAATTTTTTATTTATTTTCGGGAATAGTTTAATCTGTTCCTCATTATCGGATTTAAATGAAGATCTGGGCCCATATTCTTAAATCTTCTAAGAATCCTCTCAGAGAGCTCCTAATTTAGCTTAAAGAAATTCTAACTAGGAGTCTTATCTTAAGAGTGATTCAGGACCAATTTGAGAGCAACTCTGAGCGAGGAAAAGACAAAAAACTTTCATTTTAGTGAGGAGGCGGGGCTGACCCCTTTGCTAGGTATGTCACATTCTTTTGAAGACTGTGTTGTCCAAGATGAAAAAAATAAGAGTACTATTAAATAGGGTCTGTTTTTTCCCGATTTTACCCTAATATACACACATATACACTAGTCAACAATTGAAGTGGATCAAAACCTTTCATCAAAGTTTGATGTACTTTTTTGATCCAATTCAAATGTTGACTACTGTATGTCTATAATATACTGCCAAATGCTGATGAGAAAAGCTTGTCGCATCAAACAAAAAAAGACTAAATATTTAATACTTATGCAGTGTACTTATTTAAACATTTTTATTTTTAGAAAATTTACAAAGTTGTGACAATTCTGTTTTTGCTTTGTCAATATGGTGTATAGAATGTAGATTGGTGTGGGAAAAAAGTAATTTAAAGCAGTTTAAAGGCAGCAACGTAACAAAACGTGGAAAAAAATTAAGGGGTATGAATACTTTCGCAAGGCATAGGGAAGCACCGAAATCAAAAATGTAGTTTTTATATTTATAACATATAGCCTAGTTAAGCAACATGACCAAGAGAGTGCAGCTTTCCCTGAAAACCACGATTACAAATTTGACATTGATTTTATACAAGAGTTCTTTTCCACAGTCTCTGTTGTTACTGATTTCCAAATAGTTTCTAGTTGTTCCCAAAGACTTGCTTTTGATTAAACTTTTGTGTGAACTATCTTTGAATCCATTAAATACCAACAATAATTATATTTTAGAATTAGAAACACTACTATGACGTTGGTTGTCAACAGTTCAGAAGACGTGAAATAAAGTGCGTGCATCCGTAATAAAACGTCCCTCACACTGCTCTGGGGGGTGAATAAAGGCCTTGTGTAGCGAATCCATGCATTTTTGTTAGATAAATATCCATATTTCAAACATAATAAACATTTTTTTCTCACTTCCGCTGACTGTCATACCTGGAAGCCGTTCCAGCGGATGGCGTAAGACGACGACGTTGCGTGATTAGTGACGAACGCGGAGACAAAACAAAACAAAAAATGCCGTTCACGAATTAGAAGCACAAAACGAGGATTTGTAAAGAAAAATGTCGGAGGATTTCGATATAAGCCAAGAGGAGACTGGTTTTCCTTTACTAAAGTAAGGAAACTTTGTTTCCTTTGCTCCTGCATTTCTCAGAGGCTCATACGTCTCACGTCATCCGCCTGAACGTCTTCCGCGTACCACAGTCAGCGGAAGTGAGAAAAAAGTGTTTATTACGTTTGAAATATGGATATTTATCTTACAAAAATGCATGGATTCGCTACACAAGGCCTTTATTCACCCCCCGGAGCCATGTGAGGGACGTTTTAATACGGATGCATGCACTTTATTTCACGTCTTCTGAACTTCCTGATCCTGGGAGAGGAGACTACAATGCCGGCTGTTCTGACTCTGCCGGCTGTTCTGTTTTTTATATTTAAAGAGTTTTTATATTTTATATATTTTTTGGGCAGTGTAGGGTAGGGCTTGTTGTTTGTCATTTCTCCGATCACAAATGCAGACATGGTTTTATGTTTACGCGGTGCGAAGCAACGCAACGCATAAAAAGACAGTATAAGTCATTATAATCCATAATTATGTCCCCACTGGATGCAACAAATGCCTCGTTTATAATGGGTTTTCATGTTTTTGTCTCGTCGCTCTGGCCGGGACATGCCATCACAGTATGGTAAGGGCCGTAACATTTCCGTCACACGCTTGAGGTATTCGACCAATCACAACGCACTGGATAGCTGGCCAATCACAGCACACCTTGCTTTTCAGACCGATGAGTTTTGTAAAAATCGACGCGTTTCAGAAAGGCGGGGCATAGAGGAGAAACAATAATGTACAGTATGTGGAAAAGAATGTGTTTTTTGAACCTTACACCGCATAAGCACATTTCATTACACCAATTTTCATTTTTGGGTGAACTAACACTAAAGAACTTACACACTGGTGTGAATGAACTATTACAGAAACAAAAAATGATTTTGGTAATCATCAATATTGTTAGTTTAGGGCAGCTGTGGCACAAACCTTACATTGGTGATGGTGGTCTAATAAATTTAAGCACTACATACATATAAAGGTTGTTGTGTCTAATAAGATTGTTCACAAACATGATCCCTGCACGAGCTAATCTAGCATCTTATTAAGTCACTGTCATCCATTTGTCTGCAACACATGTTTTTCTTTCTCTTTATCTTTTGACCATTTCCATTTTCACCTCTCCTAAAGAAACTCTTAAGCCTCTAGTAAGACCTCCTCCCAACACTTTTTGACCTTAAGAGCTATTTTAAGAGTTAAGATACCTTGGGAATAACTTTTATCTTTCCTAGGATTATCTGTTTAATTGCCAGGGGAAATGTCTTAGAATTTTGTCACTAGGAGCAACTCTTTGCACTAAAAAAATTTCATGAATATGAGCCCTGATCTGAATGTAAGTCAAATGTGTGCAGAAATACACCAAATTTACAAATGTGGGTTAGGCATAAGTTAGGAGCTGATAAACAATGTGAAAATATTCCATAGAGAGAGCAGAGTATCAGAGTAGCAACAACTCCGTACACCCTAGTAACTGCACAGCAACACATTAAAAACCACTCAGAATACTATAGCAACCACAAAATAACAGAAATGTAGTTTAAGTTAAAACTTAGAAATAGAATACACACACACACACACACATAATTATAGGAAGTATCTTAAATGGCCAGATCTTTGCTTGTTCTTCCTTCTCGTCTCGCCCTGCAGTGAACTGGACGGAGCAGAACTTTCTCGACAAACGACTGCATAAGCTGCTGAAGGAAATCGAGTTCAAGGGTGCGTCCAAATGAGCTCGACATTTTCGGAAACCGCAGCAAATAAACAATCACACCTTCAGAGAAGTGTTATAACAACACCCACACACTCTTGGCATATATATATACGTATATATCCACACATGAGCCTCTGTATTCATGTGTGGACCCTCCTATTCACACTCAGTTGCTAATTGTCTCACTTTCTGTGTCGTTTATATCATGAGTCAAATGCAGTAACAGAAGCTGACCCTGCAACAGCTGATGGAAAATATAAGATGCTATCTTGTAATGGGTGTGGGTAAAATACTAGAGAAAGGTGTTATTTGGCACTTGATAACTGAATAAAGCTCTCACTGTTAAGTTGTTCCTTATATCGTTCACTGCAGTTCATTTACTATTGTTTTTTTATGTACTGTATACTTGGAAATTAGAGTGTCCAAGAACTAAGAAATTTATATTTCTGTTTTTTGAGATAGAAACAATATTATATCTTATATAATTTAATTTGAAGAAGAACCAGAACGTAAACATAATCAGGCCATGAAAAACCTTGACTTGTTACTAACTACAGTATTTTGAACAATATATTTGATTTAGTCACAATTAGCT